TACATTTACAGAATATCCTTGAGATGAAAAAAAATTATGAAAATAAACAACTAATTATTGGCTGTCAAGGTAAGAAGGAGATGAGGAAAAGTGCGCACTGGGGTGAGCAAAGCATCAGTAGAGTCCTTTGATGTGATTGGTATATTCTGTAATTTAACTGTATCAATTAATCATCCTTGCTTTGATATTATACTACAGAATTGAAAGATGCTACTACTAGGAAAAACTGGGTAAAGATTACCTGGGATATCTGCATTAGTTTTTACAGCCACAATATGAATCTACAACTACTTCAAAATAAAAGGTTTTGAAGATATAAAAAATATCTTGAAGATATAAAAAATAATCTATAAAATAGATTATTTTAAGCACATTCTCTAATTCTGAGTACATCAAACAAAGTCAAAGACCTCCTGCCCAGAAATTTACACTCCAAACCAAGAAAAAAACTAAATTTTACAAGTTACTGTAATTTAAAGGTAAGTATATGAATACATACAACATTTCTGTTTTAAAGTAATTAACACTGTTAGGTACAGAAAAGTGAGTAAATGACTAAAAAAATATTAAAACTCAAATCATCCTAATATGTAGGCATGTTTTATAGATTTTTTTAAAGATAAGGAAGGAAACTAGTACAATAGCTATTTCAAACATTTATTTTATATAATATACATAATATATTAAAAAGATTTATCAATTGTTTCAATTTTTCATTTTGTAGCACTTATCACTTAGTAAGCTTAAATTTATATCTAGCTTCAGAGTAGATAATTTCCACAGTTACATATTTTTTCCTAATTCTATATACACTACCGTAACTGGCAAGACAGGAATGTTCCCACTCAGTTCAAACTATGTCATGTACTTTAAGTACTATAAACACCAACTTTCAATCTTTGCATCTTTTGATCTAAAATATAGTCAAACAAAGCAAGTTATTATGATAAAGATAAGTAATATTTAAAATAAGATTTAAGTTTCTAGATGTAATTTGGTATCTCGCCTATAAATTTTTCTCTTTAATAAACATTTATGTATATATAATTCACACTGGTCTAGGCATGAAACAATAATGTATACTAAAGACAAAAGCCCTATATTAAATTCAAACATGGAAAGATACACAATAAAAGAAGTCCCTCCCTAAAGTCAGATGTTAATAAATCCCATGAGAAAAAATTATATGGCAGGGGGAGATGCAAAGGTGTAAATGACATGGAGGTTGACTGTTATTTCACGTGGGATAGATCTGGGTGGCCCTTTAAAAGTGACATTTCAATAGTCTTAATAAATGAAAGCCTAAGACATGCAGATATCAAGGCTAAGAGCTCAAATGTAGAGAAAAGCCAATACCAAAGTCCTAAAGAGAAAGCAAGTCTGTCACATTCACTGCACACCAGAGTGGGCAGTGTGACAGACTTACACAGGGAATGAAGAGAAGAGCAGTGAGAAGCTAGACAGGGACTAACTCCTCATTTTCATGGGCTTTTTCCAAGTCTTAAAAAAAGTTCTATACATTCTGTTCAATTATTCACACTTTGATAAAATTTGCAAAACTTAGGTATTAAGCACCAATGATTAGGATCATTTTTATCAGGCATTCATGCGGTCCCTGCAGAAAGGGGGAATGAGACCCCCCGCGAAGGGAGGCTCCCAATCTGACGGCTGCTTCGGATGCGGCCAGCCCGGACACCTGGCAAGGCATTGCACTAGGGAGAGCGGGGTAGAGATCCGGAGATGAGGAACTAAAGTAAACTCCTTGTGTATCAAGTATGTGCCTCTTTGCTCACGCGTCGCCAGTTCAGGCCCCTGTAGTCGCAGACCGAGTTGCCCAAGGCAATCCGGCTCGCGACAATTTTTGCTTTATGTTCTGATTTCTCTGTAACACTTCATCTTATAGTAAATAGCACCAGGCAAGTCAGAGGCATTTCAGAATCCAGATAACTAGTAGTTCAGTTGGGATATACTAAGTTTGAGTTTAGCAAGATACACTCATTAATTATTTTCCACTTGCTTTCTAGGCATAAATAATTGATTGTTAGCGGTCCAGGTCCATGCAAGAGTAGTTATTCATTAGTGTGACATAATCTGTCATAACAAAAAGTCAAGGAACAAAGGCTACTAACACAGATATGGCCCAGGGTAAGAAGCTCTGAAATCTTGTAGACAATGACCAAGAAATATGATTTGAAATTCACAGAGCCAGAACATTCTCAAAACTTTTTCCAATCAGTACACATGTAAAGTAGTAAGGAGAACACTTGATTCTTAATGGGGAATAGTTAAAATGGAAGTTCTCCTTTTAGTGAATGCAATTATAATTATTATAAATGCACCAAAATTTTATGGGATTTTCACTGATAGGAATTTTATTACAGATATTTTGTTAATTCTTGTGTTTTAGTACTGCCTGCAGCAGAATTCAAAACAGACAGCAAGTCTGTGTTAATTTACACAATGTTAGCTATTCTAAATACCCAAAATTTGAAAAGCATATTTTATCAATAATGCAAAAGGAAAGACTAGATTATCTTTTCATTGTCTCTACAGAAGCTATTATAAAAATTATCATATAAAAATAAAGTTTATACCCAATAAAAGATGGGAATATATTACAAAGATATATTAAATGAATATATAATTTTTCTAGATTTTTATTAAGTCTAATGTTCATCACCTTTTTAAATTTAAAATACCATCATTAAAAATAAATGGCTAAGCCAGGCGTGGTGGCACACGCCTGTAATCCCAGCACTGGGGAGGCTGAGGCAGGAGGATTACTGTGAGTTCGAGATCAGCCTGGGCTACACAGTGAGTTCCAAGTCAGTCTCAACTACATAGTGAGACCTTGTCTCAAAAAGCAAAAAAGTACATGGTTGATGGGTAGGGTGGTACACACCTGTAATCTCAGTACTCAGGACACAAGTTCAAGGCCACCCTGAGCTACATAGCAAGACTCTGTCTCAAAACAAAACAAAACAAAATAGTAAATATTTAATGGATAGGTTAAGCAGCATATTAAAAAGAAACCCCTGGACCGGGGATTTAGCTCAGTGGTTCCACCATCTGCCTTGCAAGCTCAAGGATCTGAATTTGATCCCCAGTACCAAAAAAAAAAAAAAATCCTTGAGTTTGATTGCCCAATACACATGTACAAACACACATGCATACAGATAAATAGACAGTTAACTTGAAGTCAGATCTTAAGAAATAACCAAAATTCAGCAAAGATAAAAATATGGGAAAATACTGCAGAGCAAATAAGTATACATGGAGAAAAAAAGAGTTGACATCTAAGAGTTTACATCTAGACATACATCTAAAAGGAGTTTCAGAACAATTAAATAGGGAGAACAAGGAGATGCAAGAATCAGAGAGAGAATGGGTAAAAACTTAATTTCAGAGCTATTAATCCTCAGACTAAAGAAGCAAAGCGAGTTCTGATCAAGCAATATAAAAATGAGTCTACATCCTAATGAACTCAACTTGCCAAGAAAAAGACTTCAAAAGAAAATTTTAAACATAACTGACAGAAAGAGATTATCTGCAAAGTAAAACCAAATCTAGAGAATAAAAAAGGGTTATCTTTAGATCATCATCAATTTAGATAGCAAGATTATTATTAATTCAACAAATACTGACATAATCTTTACTAGATGCCAGATTCTACTTAGGTGCCTTTTAGTGCTCTGAGAAGTAAAACAGAAATAGTCCCTGACTTCATACAGCTTACATTTTAGTAAGAATTTTTCAAGAAGAATTTAAAAAAAAGAAATTATTTATTATCTACTCTCCTGCGATCCTGAAATTTTCATCTTACTGCAATTAAAACAGCTCAGAACACTTAGCTTCTACAGTACATATTTTAAAATAACTTACTTGATGGTATACCTAGGCTTTTGTAACTGGTAATACATGAAACCTCTGAAATTATATAGAAATTTGTACATAAGTAGTTTTCTAAGAAGAATGTCCATATGTGCCATCAGATTTTCAGAGACAGGTGATGCAAAAGAGATTTGAACCACTTTTCTCTGATGCCAATGCCTCCCCCTCAGACCAGTTTGGTGCTACTCTTGTATCTCCTACAGTAACTTACAATTCATCTTTCAGTGCTTTCAGCCCATAATTATTTATTCTGTGACTTCTCCAGTTAATAGTAAACCATGAATGCAAGGACTATCTTGCTCCCCACCACCTAGCATAGCAACACATGGTACTGAACTAATTAATAATATTAATAAAATGAACTACAAAATATATCTTTGAAATATACAAATACACTCCCTTGTTGCAAAATTTAAGAATCTATCCTTAAAGAAGTGTTTATCTTTTCTTAATTGAATCTTTTTCTAATGTTGTCTATCAAGTCTATTAAACAACCTTAAAAGATTTTTAATGTAAATGTCTTTAAAATATGAATTTTGTGGTAAAATTTATAAAACTTTGTATTTTTACTGTAAAGAAACTCTGGCTAAATAACATCAACTTCAATTCTGTAAACTTAGAAATTTGGAAACTAAGCTAATTATGTCAATAAATACACTAAGCTTTTGGAGAGAGTACCACTATTGTCTCAATGTTTAAGAAAGTACATCATAAAAACACACCCTTATGTATTTTTTCACATAAGAAATAGCACTAAGACATGAAATTCAATGTATATAGAGCTTGATTCACATATTATGTAAATATATAATATTTAAACCATATCAAAAATGAAGATCTAAATTTAAAGAAAACAAGAGTCATGACGGGCTTGGAGCAATGAATTACTTTCCTCCTAAAGATAAGGGGAAATCAGTTGTCTAGGAAAGAAACAAACCAGGTGGTACCAAGGGTCCTTAAAACACGTGTCTATCCTTTAAAACACATGCAGAAAATATTGTCAAATTCAAGTGATTTTCTTTTTTCCTTTTTTAAAGTGTCAATACAATTGAGAAAACAAAAGAAAAAGCAAGTGGAAAAAACTGAGTTAAAAAATTAGTATTACTTACCAAGTTGGCCATATAAATTGTGAGCAGCCCTCTCCTGCAAAAAATTTAAAAAAGAAATAGAAAATATTAAGTTTCAGTTTGATTATCAATTTTTGAAAGAATTATCAAGAACTGAGAAACATACTGGTATCTTAAGAAAAATGGGCAGATTATGCTGAACTAAATTTTCAGTGCCTTAATAGTTGGATCTAAAAAGATTCTATTTTAAGTGTATTTGACAAATAAAATCATATGTATTTAGGGTAAACAATATCATGTGTTTAGATAGTATACTTTGTGAAATGATTATTACAATCAAGCTAATTTACATTATCTATCACCTCATATACTTACAGCAATTCTTGATCTTTTAGAAACACTGTATAACACAGGTTTTTTAAAAAAAATACTCTTAAGATTACTGACATTTAGAAATGGGAAGAAAGGAGCTAAAGGTGTAGGGAAGGTGGGATGGGTAGGGGAAGAGTAAAAAGGGAAAAGAAAACAATGTGAGAGAATGAAAAGATGAAAATCAAGTGTTTGTAGATGGGGAGGGGAGGAGGGGGTGAAGGGAGGGCAGAGGTAAGGGGAAAAAATGAGAATCAAGACTTGCCATGTAGAGGTACAAGATCCCAACAATGAATGTAACTGTACTGTATCCCTAAAATGTACCAATAAATTCAATAAAATTAAAAAAAAAATTCTCTTAAAAAGAAAAATGTATCCAGAATCTCTCCCAGAGACAGATTAGGACAGTTAAGTGAATGCCATTCTAGACAAGATAATCTCTCTATAACTTAATACATTATTGAAAATTTTTAAATAGGCAATGCCATATATACAGTTTTGTAACCTATTTCACTTAATGGAGCGTAATGAACACCTTTTTATCACAATAAATTCATGTCTAAATCGTGATTTCTTAAAATTTTGCCAGTTACTCTTCAAACCCAGGACTAATATCCAGAATAAATAAAAGCTCAAAAACCATTAGACCCTCCAAATTTAAAGATACAATTCAAAAACACGCATCTGACATGAATAGACAATTCTCAGATGAAGTACAATCAGCCAATAAATGTATGAAAAAAAGTTCAACATCGCTGACCATACTACACAAAAGTTTAAATATCACATTGCTTTTCCTATGAGAAACACAAAGTATAAATAAGGGACAAAATTTTTCAAACAGGAAAGAGAATGAGGGGAAGAGGGAAGGAAAAGTAATTGAAAGAAAAAAATTGAAAGAAAAAATTAGAAAGAGCTTTTGCAAATGGGGGAGGATGAATGTGACCACTATGTACTGCAAATATTTGTCAATAAAAAAAATCATAATTTCTGTAAGATATGTTAGTAACTCTTGCTTTTCATCCTCACATTATCCTCTCTTATTCCCTCTTTCTCCTCATTCCCTTCCCCTTTTCTAATAAGAGTCTCCATTCTACTCCATTCATGTCATCTTTCTTAGAGTCAATATATTAGGTAAACCTTTTCTGGCCTGGCTTATTTTGTTTAATAAAATGATCTCTAGTTCCATCTGTTTTCCTGCAAATGACATAATTTCTTTCTTCCTTAAAGCTGAATAATACTCCATTGTGTATAGATACCTATTTTCTTATTTTAAAATACATATATTTATATGCAAAATACTTTGGAAAGATACTACTGTACATATCATTACTTGATACAATACAGAGAAGTGGTTTTTCAGGGGGTTTTTTGCTTTTGCTTTTACTAGCACCTTTTAGTTTTTAAAGTAATAGGTTTCAATATATATACTTTGATTTTATATATTATATATTATATATTATATATAAAATACATATATATAAATAT